GCATATTGATACTATTTCATTATAGAATGGAAGGTCTTGCTGAGACATTTCAATTGTGGTTAATTTGTACTTCCTAAAGGAAATGTAGTTTCTAAAGGACAGAAGTGCAACAGCCAGATGTCTACCTTGTTGCAAAGCAGTCAAGTCATGAAGCCTGAAGTCACTCATCTGGTTAGAGGAAGATCTCAATACCACAACATGAGTTGAGTAAACCCAGGATAGCAGGACAGATAACATTTCCCGGCAGTTTGCTTTGCTCATCACTGAAAACTGTTGGCAATTATTAGTATTTGTCTATAAGTTCATTACTATGACAATCAAACTTATCAAAATTAGAAGTCCAAAAGTATTTCCAATATCAGCTTCCTGCTGCGCCCCCCAACTCTGTGTGTTTCCTCAACCTCAATGGTTTCCCACTGTAGCTGTACTTCAACTTTAGATGCTGACTTCACGGTTTAATGCCTTGCTATTCCTGCCTTAAGAGCCTTCATAATTATTATCAGTGCCCAAAGGGTATGATTTCCCCTTTTAGAGTGTCTTTAGTGTTTCACTGGTCCTTCCTCTGGCCTAATTCCTTATTCTGTGGACTCCTTTGCTTTGATCAGGTGTCTTTGTTTCATGTAGAAGTGGTATCAGACCGAACATGTCAAGCAAGTGGCATGGCTGTAGAAGGCATGTGGTTTGCTTGCCTGGATATGATCGAGTCCACCTAAGGCACAACAGGTCTTTCAGGATCTAAGAACAGACTAGGGGTACAGTTTTCAAACACAATCTAAGTCCTTTCCCTTCCTCCAGCAACTTTAATATTTATTATACTTTATTTGTGTGGGGGGTGGGGTAGAGACATGCACAAATGCCCCTATGCAAGTGTGGAGTTAATTCTTTCCTTCCGCTCCTTCCACCCTGTAGATCCCAGGGATGGAACTCAGCTCCATCAGGCTTGACAGCAAGCATCTTAAGCCACTGAGCCATCTTGATGACCCCCTTCTTATAACTTTATCCTCGCCTGCTATTCTAACTCCTCCCCAAACTCTATCCTGGAGTTATATTTGTCTATATGCACTCCACCTCTGACTAAGAGCTTCTTCATCTGCTCATGATTCATTTAGCACAGTGTCATTAGGGTGAAAGGGGTGGGCAGCAGAGTTTAGCTTCTGACATATTTGCCTAACAGCTGCTATTTCTTGGTCATCTCACTCCTTTCATTATAAGAATAGAAACGGGGCCTGGCCTCCTCCCCCTCCTCCTCCTCTCCCTCTTTCC